GGCTTTTTGAACCCAAAAGCTCAGAGGTGGGAGGGCAGGAGTTCTTCAGGAAAGTAAAGATCTTCTGCTCCTTTTCTCCATTCACATCCCCTTTCTCAAAGAGCTGAAAATTGGGAACAAAGCCCCCCACCTGGATGCACATATTTGAGTCCAGAAAGGATCTCCATGTTTCTTCCTAGTTCTTGTTTTCCAAATTGGTTGCAGGGAAAGCCTAACAAACCAAAAGGCTTCAACTCCTTTTGTAGTGCATTCATTTCAGGATACTGTGCTGTCAAACCTCAATAACTGGCTACACTGAATAACAGGACATGCTTGCCCACATACTGCTTAATCTGGATATATTCTTCACCGTGGAGGGTGAGAGCTCCATATTCATAGATGGTGCCTGTCACCCCTTTGTAGCAGTCCTTCTTCATTTTCTGATTCAAGCTCTGCTGGACAAAGCCCACTAGGAAGAGCAGCAGAAGATAGGAAGCCCAGGACTGCCCGGCCATGGCTCGTATTAGGAGTCCGTAGCCAGTATTTAGGAGAAGGTTTTAAGGTCAGGAAGCATGAGGTTTCCTACATTGAGAGATGAGTCGTCCCTGTCTTCAATATTTCTGTGCTTATCTGGGGTCTTTTTCCTTTCCATATAAAGTTGGTGAATACTTTTTTCCATACCTTTGAAAAACTCTGAGAAGAATGGGAATTTCAGAACACTTGATTGTGCTAATGCTAAACCTATACTTAGATCAGGAGGCTTACGTCAGAACGGAGCAAGGAAACACATGGTTCAAAATGTGGAAGGGTGTATGCCAGAGATATTTCTTATCTCCATACCTTTTTAGTCTTTATACAGAACAGGTTATCCGGGAGGTTGGGCTCTATGAGGAGAAATGTAGCATCAGGATTGGAGGAAGACTCATCAACAGTCTGCATTATGTAGATGACACAACCCTGCTTGCTAAAACTAAGGAGGACCTGAAGTGCTTGCTGTAGAAGGTCAGGGACTGCAGCCTTCAGTATGAATTGAGACTCAACATCAAGAAAACAAGGATTCTCACCACTGGGCCAATTGGCAGCATCATGATGGATGGTGAAGAGATTGAGATTATTCACAGCTTTAGTTTGCTTGGCTCCACAATCAACACTGTTGGCACCAGCAGTCAGGAAATTAAAAGACATATTGCGATGGTAAAGTCTGCTGTTAGAGACCTCTCTAAAGTACTGAAGAGCAACGATGTCAGTCTGGAAACTAAGGTGCACCTGATACAGGCCATGGTCCTTGCAGTAACTTGCTATGCCTCAGAGAGCTGGACAGTGACTAGGGATGATAGGAGAATTGATGCCTTTGAGCTGTGGTGTTGGAGAAGAGTATTGAATTGGATTGCTAAGAGAACAAACAGATTTGTACTGGAGAAGGTGAAGCCAGGCTGCTCCTTGAAGGTAAGGATTCTGAAGCTTTGTCTGACATACTTTGGACATGTTTCAAGGAGGGACCAGTCCTTGGAGAGAGATTCCATGCTTGGGAGAGTGAAGGGACAGTGCAGGAGAGGAAGACCCTTGATGGGATGGCTTGATTCAGTGACTGGGGTAATGGGGGTAAGTGTGTCAGAGACAATGAGATTGGCACAGGATAGAGCAGGGTTTATAGGGCTGTTGTACTTAGGGTCAGTATGAGTCGCAGGTGACTCAATGGCACATAACATCTGGATAAGGATTACATTGTCTTTGCAGATTACTCTGGTAACATATGGAGCTCTGGTGGCATGGTCTGTAGGAAGTTGGGCTGCTAACTCAAATATGGTGCCTCTTTAGGGGTTTGAATCCACAGTGGCTCCCTGGGATGGACAGTCTCCTCTCACGTGATTTACAGCCTCAGCCTACTGGAGGGTCAGCTATGGAGGATTCCAAGTCAAAGACAATGCCCGTCTTACTTTGGGAATAGTGCAGTTTTCATTATGTTAAATCTTCCAGTCAAGAACATTGTATATTTTTCCATTTATGTAGATTTCTAGGTTTCTTGTAGTAGTATCATACAGTTTTCTTTGTAAAGGTCTTTTGTATATCTGGTAGATTTATTCCTATTTCACATTATGGGTGGCTATTCTCACATACTTTGGGCATGTTACTAGGAGAAATGAGTCCTTGGAGGACATGACATCATGCTTGGAATGGTGGAGGGACAGAGTAGGAGAGGGAGACCCTGGATGAGATGGATTGACACAGTGATTGAGGTAATGGGGGGCAGGTGTGTTGGAGAGAGTGATATTGGCTCAGGATAGGACAGAGTTCAGAGCTATTAGACTTAGAGTCACTGTGAGTCACAGGCAACTCGACAGCCTTTAATATGGATTGCATCTCATAGGATTGCTATGAGTTGTACTCACTGGCACCTAACAACAGTATTGTAAATGGCATTGTTTTCCTTATTTCCTTCTCAGGGTTTTCTCTGTTACTGTCAGTAGATCAGACTAATTTTTGCATATTGGTCTTATACTCTGCCACTTTGCTAAAGTGGGAAATTAGATCTATTAATTTTCTTCTATTTGTTGTTGTTGTATGCTGTTGAATTGCCTGTGACTCATAGTGACCCTGTGTACAACAGCCCTAAACCCAGCTTTATCCTGTGCTAATCTTTTTGTCTCTGACACCCCAACCCCCATTACTCCAGTCACTGAATCAATCCATCTCATTGAGGGGCTTCCTCTCCTGTGCTGTCCCTCCATCCTCCCAAGCTTGACGTCCCTCTTACTCTTTGGAATTTTCTATATGTATTGTCACATTATCTGCAAATACAGGTTTGCTTCCCTTTTACCAATTTGTTGTTGTTGTGCTGTTGAGTTGAGTACAACTCATAGTGACCTATGAACAGCAGACCTGAACCCTGTTCTGTCCTGTGCCGTCCTCATCGTCTCTGACATACCTGAGCCCATTGCTGCTGTCACTGTGTCAGTCCATCTTTTAGGGGATATTTAGATGCCTTTTATTTCTTTTTCATGCCTTACTACACTGATTAGGACTTCCACTGTAATATTGAGTTGTTGTTGTTGTTAGGTATCTTCCACTCCAGTATAGGACTCATAGTGACCCTATGAACAGCCATCCTGAACCCTGCCCTGTCCTGTGCCATTCTCATCATCTCTGAGACACTAGAGCCCACTGCTGAAGTCACAGTGTCAGTCCATCTCATCTTCCTCTTTTTCGCTGACCCTCCATCTTTCCCATCATGGTGTCCTTTTCCAAGGAATAGCCTCACCTAGCTGCATGTTCCAAGTAAGAAAGATGAAGACTTCACCGTCCTTGCTTCCAAGGAGTATTCTGGCCGCACATAACTGTTTGTTCTTTCGACAGTCTGTGGGATATTCAGTACTCTTCTCTAGCACCACAACTCAAAACAACAAATATTGAGTAGGAGTGATTATAAAGGGCAACCTTGGCTGGTTCCCTTTTGCAAGTGAAATGCTTTTAATCTCTCTTCATTGAGAATAATGTTAGCTTTGGGTTTTGTGTATATGCTTTAAATTTTGTTGAAAAATTTCCTGTCTACTTCTATTTCTCCTCTACTTTGCTGAGTATTTTTATCAAGAAAGGGTATCAGATTTTGTCAAAGGCTTTTTTCTGCTTCAATTGAAACAATTATTTGGTTCTTTACCTTTTTTAATTAATGTAGTGGATTACACTGATTGTTTTTCTGATGTTAAACCATCCTTGCTTACCTGGTATGGATCCCATTTGATCATTGTTGTTGCTGAGTACTACCATCCAGTTGGAACCGACGCATAGCTGACCCTCCAGCAGGTTTTCAGAGGTAGTTAATCACATGGGAGCAGATTGCCCATCTTCTGCGGAGAGCAGCTGGTGGGTTTGAATCATGTACCTTTAGGTCGGCAGCACAGTTCTTTACACTTAAACCACCAAAGCTCCTCAGTTGATCACAATGAATGATTTTTTTTATATGACATTGACTGGGATTTTATTGAGGATTTTTGTATTTGTGTTCATGAGGAGCATTGAATTAAAGAAAAAGCTATTTAAAAAAAACCACAAAAGCTATAATTGTATTTTTCAGTAGTGTCCTTGTCTGGCTTTGGTATTGGGATACTTGCTTCATCAAATGAGAATGAGTTTAGGCGTACTCCATCTTTTTCTTTATTCTAATTTATATTTCTGATCTCCTTTTTCAACCTTCCTAAGGTCAGTTGTGGTCACTTTTCAGAAGATACCTCCCATTCTTGCCATTGTCATGGCCCCAGGAGGCAGGTGCTGCTATTCATTCACAGAGAGGCAATCGTCGTAGAGGTGGGATTCGATCCAGTTTGGCCAGATTTATGTGGTCTTCATGTTGCATCAGTTGAGAATTCCTGACCTTCCCTTCTTCCCCTTGACCCTTACCATCCTGCTCCTGTTCTTTTTGAACTGCTGTCTCTCCTCTTACCTAGTCTTTTGGTCTCTGTTGATACGTGGAATGTTGATATGAGGAGTGAATTAAGGTGAGCCAGAGCCATGGACACCACCTGGGTTTGCATTTTGGCTCTGACCCTTTATATGTGGCTTTTGCACAATGACTTTGCCTCTCTGAACCTCACTTTCCTGATTGGTAAAGTAGGATACAATTTACCTCACAGGATTGCATTGAGGATCAAGTCAGAAAATGACCTGTTAGAGCCTCAGCAAGCATTAGTGTTGAATGAGTTTAAGCTCGAGACTTGAAAATTTGGGTCTTGGCCCTTGTACGTAATGACTCTGGATTTTATTGCTATTTTAGCTTACCGCAGTATCTTTGTCTTTAAAATGGAGGTGATGAAAGCATCTACTTTGATTCTTACAAGAATAAATGAGGGTTTATGTAACACTTCTTTCCATGGTGGTTGGTATGTATTGAAAAATACTAGCTTTTTATTAAAAAGTGATGCTAGATGGTTGAGAAACTTGTGAGTTTCTCTAAAAAGTAGGGGCTGGCCTGTTACTGATGATGGGCCTGCCTAGGGAGTCTGAGCTGTGTCCTCTTCCTGTCCTAGAACTGCCTGAGAATTGGACAGACACTCGGGAGACACTGCTTGAGGGGATGATCTTCAGCCTCAAGTATCTGGGCATGACGCTGGTGGAACAGCCCAAGGGTGAGGAACTGTCAGCTGCAGCTGTTAAGAGGATCGTGGCCACGGTGAGAAGTCCACTCAGAGTTGGAGGATGTAACAACCATTGGTCAAGGGCTGACTCCTTCCTGGGGGGCACCCCTCCCTGCATGCTCCTGTTTCTTCTCTCTGTTGGAGGAGTCTGAGCCTACTCTTGCCTTTGAATCTGCTTGTCTCCAGCTTAGAGACCCTTGGTGGAAGGGAGCCATTGATTTGAGGGATCAGAATCAGTGTCGTCCTCTCTAGCTGTGTGATCATGTCCTCTCATAGTCTTCCACCCCCCAAATTCAGGATTCCTCTCAAAGTGTTAGAACCTTATCAGTGCCAAGGAGAGAGGTGTGGGGCCAATTGCTGTTACCTGACCACTTGACCAGTAACTGGTGGGATTTGAGTCTTGTGGGGGCAGAGCAAGGACAGAGTAACCCACCAGAGACTGGAATTTCCCCTCCCTCCCTCCCTCTCAATAAGTGTGGAACCCTCTGAATGCACTTCTTTGGTAGCCTCAGACCCCTCAGCTCAGCTCTGACAGTGGGTAGAGTAAGAGAGTCCCTAGCAATCACCCTGTTGAGTTGTGATAGCCCTTCTCAGCCTTAAGATCTGTGATCCCTCATAGTTTTGTTTGTTAGGCAAGCCACTTAACCCCTCTAAACCCACTTCCTCCAGAGAAGAGACCCTACAGCCCATGAGATCAGGGATGCCAGATCAGTGCTTGGCAGATTGTAGGTGCTCAATGAGTGGAAGTTGTTTTATTCTTCAAGAGGGTGTTGGCAGGAGTTCCTGGGGTAGCACAGATGATTAAGTGATGGACTAAAAGATTGGCAATTGGAACCCATCCAGAGGTACCTTGGAAATAAGGCCCAGCATTCTGCTCCTGAAAAGTTACAGTTTTTTGGGGATTTTTTTTACTTTTTTTTTTTAAATTTTATTTTTTATTATTCTTTGTGCGTGTACCGTCAAATTGGATCTGACTGGTACAGGAGGAGATTGCCCCTCCTTCTCCAGCAGAGCATCTGGTGAATTCAAACCACGAACCTCTGGCATTGCAGTTGCAGCTTCTTGCCACCAGACCACCAGAGCTCCCTAAAAGGTTACAGTTTTTAAAAGCTTAAGGAGTTCATTTAGTTCAGCTTCTTACACTTGGATTGCCATGGCTAGGAATTGACTCAACAGAAACTAATACATACAATTTTTGTGGATAGACTAGAGTAGAGATGGTCACAGAGCCATGGCTGTGTTGTCTTCCCTGTCGTATCTTTTCCATCTGACCTGCCAGCCCCCTTAACTGAGGACTGTGTATGGGTTTGCAGCAGTAGGCGTAGCCCACAAAGGTGGGTCCTAAGTGGGGCAGTCAGGCTTCTCTGACCTATGTCTATCCTCAAGGCTAAGGCCAGCGGGAAGAAGCTGCAGAAGGTAACTCTGAAGGTGTCGCCACGGGGGATTATCCTGACTGACAGCATCACCAACCAGCTCATTGAGAACGTGTCTATTTACAGGTATACTTGGCATGAGGGGTAGCCCACTACTTTGCCACTTGGGGTGGTGACTGGAATCTCCTGTCTGAATCTAGGCTCTCACCATTTCTATCAGAGTGACTCAAAGCCTCAGTCTCCTTATCTGTATAACAGATCCTGCTATAGTGGTGTCCTGAGTAAAAGCACCTTGTTCACATGACAGTTGCTACTGTTGTTATCACCAGTTGCAGTAATATGGGTAGCTGAGGTCTCACTAGGCCCCTGGAACTCATTGTCCCCACCACCTGCTACAGAGCTAGGCTTAGACCAGGGCTCTGCAGAGTCACTGCCTTTTCCTTCCATTGTGAGTACAAAAGCCCAGCTCTGGACACCTGGCCAGATGTCCCAGAGAGGCCTCCGGCAGGGTCTAAGACCATGATGTAGACAGATTTGATAATAGGATTCCTGTTCCCAGGGAGGTAGGGCTCAGCCTTTGGCCACTTCTACCACATGGCTGGTCAGTTGTAAGATTTCAGAGCTGGAAAGGATAGTCTTCGTCTACTTTACAGATGGAGAGGCTAAGGTCCAGGGGGATTGCATAGGGTTCATGATACAATAGTGGCTCAGCTGGAATCAGGACACCCAGGCCTGAGCTCAGTCCAGCAGGCCCGGTTTTCCACCTGTTCCTTTTGCTGCCTTTTCCCCAAGCAGGTGGCTAAGCTGGCCAGAGAGTGTGCCAGTTCTGGATGTAGTTTGGAAGCTGAGGTGAGGGAGGGATCAGAGTGTCTGGCTAGTGTCTTCCTCTCACCTTTGTGATTCAGTCTTTTTTTCTTTTGGAAAATTTAATAGTATTTGATCATATTTTAGGTAACATTGACATTGCAGATTAAGTTCCCCTTTAAAAATTTTTGCAAATATTATTCCATGCTGTTGGTCACAGTTTTCACAATGTATTTTCATTGTTTTCATTTTGTTTGCTCTGTTTCCATTGATCTAGCTTCCCTTTCCCTCCTAACTTCCTCACCTTTGCTTTTGGATTAATGCTGACTTCACCCAGCTTGTTGTTTGAGGAAGCACACTACTGTTGCCTGGCTAAAGGATGGCCCACTGAGATAGCTTTGCGTCTATGTTCAATGTTTATCTTAAGGTGACTGTTTCAGGGTTCCTGAGTTCTTTCAGTCTAGTTGTTCTTTTTAAGGAATTTACATTTTCTACGTTTTTATTTCATTCTCCACTGTCTCTTCTGTTGTTTCTTTGGCCAGAATGATGGCTACTGGTAGTCAGACACCATCTAGTTCTTCTGCTCTCAGGTTTAAAGAGTCAGCCTTTCTTTACCCAACATTTTCCAAGCGTTTATTCTGTTGCAATCTGTCCTGTATGAGGAATTCATCTCCCACCCTCAAGAAGCATTCAGTCTAAGAAGAAATGTTATTGTTGATAAATGCCTTGGAGTTGGAACCAGCTTATAGCTGACCCTCTAACAGGGTTCCTCAAAGGCTGTAAATTTAAAGCACATGGTTCAAACCCACCCGCTGCTCTGCAGGAGGAAGATATGCAGTCTCTTCCCATATGATTTATAGCCTCTGAAAACCCACTGGAGGGTCAGCTGTGAGTCAGTTCCAACTTGACAGTACATCAGTATATAACAACAAATCGCATGAGAGGAGATTGCACATCTTTCTCACATGGAGCAGCTAGTGGATTCAAACTACCGGCCTTTCTGTTGGCAGCACAGCTCCTCACCACTTGGCCATGAGAGCTACCAATGGAAAGGATTGTGGTGGTAGTTTGCCATTGAGTCGGCTCCGATGCATAGCTGACCCTCCAGAAGATTTTCAGAGGCAGTAAATCTGGGAGGTGACGGCCCATCCTTCTCCCACAGAGCAGTTGGTGAATTTGAACGTCTCTTTGGGATTACAGCGCAGCTTCTTACAACTAGGAAAGAAATAGGAGATGGAGTATGAGGTAAAGAAGGAAGATTTTTGCCTAGAATATCTGGGAAAGTCTCTGAGAAGAGGAGATTGGATCTTAAATAATATCAAAGTCTGGCTGATTAATGCCAAGGACTGGTAGTATTTGGAGATAGCCTGTGATCAAAGCTTGGGCCACTGGGAAGAGGGAGCCAGCCTACCAAGCTCCTGCTTCACTTTTGGGCTGTCAGTACTTCTCCTGTTTGAGATTCCCAGGATAATTTGGAGTTTTGTGGAGAGATCAGAGAAGTAGAAGAAGCTAAGAAGACTGAGAGTGCAGGCGGAGCCGAGACTGTGGCCTGCCTGGAACACTTCTGCCCTCTGGACTGGGGCATGGATGAGGCAGAGCACTGTCCTCTTTCCCCTTTCAGTCAGTCAGTGCAATCTCTGAAGAGTCAGTATGGCAGTAGTTACAGTCAGGTGGGTTCAGGTCTCAGCATTGCTGTCAGCTTGAGATCTTAGACATTTAACCTCAGTTTCCTACTCTAGAAACTGAAGATGATAATAAACCCATTTCAGTGGGTGCCTGTAAGAATTGAATGAGGCGCTCACTGTGAGCTCTTGGTACATTGACTGTTATCCAGCTAGGGCTGTATTACTGTTACTGTTCTAGAACAGACTCCATATGGGAGAGAAGAGATGGGGAAGTTCTTTTCTGCTGATCTTTTCCTTTCTGCTTTTACCCAGATGCTGAGTTTTGCAGCATCATCCACAGTCCTTCTGTGATAGCCTTGTGCTATGAAGCATGAGAGATAGCACCTAGACAGAAGGAAGGCAGAATTCAGAGCACCAAACTTACTGTCCCAGGAGATGGAGTGAACTCCTTTCCTGATGTTGACTTCTGTAAAAGATGTCTTGTCTCACATCTGAAGGGCAGGGGGAGTCGGATTATGTTTGAGGCTACCTGGCAGCAAATAACTGGTTTCCTAACTTCCTTGGTGCCCTGGTGGGGATAGACCACTATAGGGTTAAATTGGGTATTCTCCTATAGGAGAGCAAGCCTTCTGGAACTCAGGGAACGTGTTAGATCTCTGTGCCAGGACCTAGTGACACTGCTTGCCTTTCAGGATCTCCTACTGCACAGCAGACAAGATGCACGACAAGGTGTTTGCATACATCGCCCAGAGCCAGCACAACGAGAATCTTGAGTGCCATGCCTTCCTCTGCACCAAGCGGAAGATGGTCAGTGGGGAAAGGGCTGGATGGGGAGTGATGGCCTGGACCTGATGACCTTGCCCTTGAAGGTGAAGGAGGCAGGACCTGTAGATGACAATCACTTTCTCAAAAGTTAAAATCCCTTTGAACCCCAAGAGAGTTCTGACCACTGAGGGCTAAGTAGTAGAGTTTGGTTAGGCAGGTGGGTCTGCTTGTGGGCACATCTTGACCTCAGCTTCTGCCTTACCCATGGGGCTCCTTCCTTCCCACAACAGATTTATTGGATTTAAACTGTTTGGTTGGCAGAACTCATCCAAAGGCACCTCGGAAGATGAGTAAAGAGATCTACTTCCAAGGCTCGCAGCATTGAAACCCTAGAACAGTTCTACTGTGCAGATACAGGTTTGCATCATTAGTATAGGATAAAGGTGTGGGGCCTTGTAGAGATTAGTGCCTGGAGGGACTAATCCCTTAGAGGGATTAAACTGGAGATCAGAGGGGTCCAGGGTGAGGCACAGACAAGGGCCCTTAGAAGACTGACTTGCTGTGGCCAGAGCAGAGGGAAATGAATGAGGTTTTGTTTTGATATCTATTGTCTGCCTATTACAGTGCTAGACTTTATGGTTTTATCTTAAAATACCTCGTCAAAATGGGTCAGTTACGTCTCTATTGCTTCTGGTTTTCTTTTTAAAAATTTTTTTAATTGAGATTTTAATGAAAGTTATAGAGCACTTGGGTTTCTATTCATTCATTCTTGCACATTTTCCTCCCTGCTTCCCCAGTTTTCTTTTCCCTTTGGGGAAAAAAAAATTCTTTCATTGTTGAACAGTTCCCCACCCCCACCCCCATCCAGTTTACCATGCAGCTCTTATTCTGGATTGTTGTCATACAAATAATACCTAATCATATATTCCTTTTAAGCAGTTCTTCCCCTCATCAGTTTCAATGCAGTGTATATTATTTATCCCCTCTTTTCATAGTTTCCTGCCAACCTCAGTCCTGTTATACAACAGTGGCATTATTCAGTATTTATCCTTTTGTGACTGAGTTGTTTCACTCATAGAGGCCAGAGAGCTTGCTGAAGGTGACAGCCAGTGAGGGGCTAAGGGCTTAAACCCATGTACCTTCCCTTCCTGCATGACTGTGAGGTCCACTGTAAGAGCTGAGAACCCTCCCTCCACTACTTGCCCCACTCTTGACCACATTAGCTGGGACAGGTGGGGACCTCAGGTGCTTGTTTGTCTGAGCTTTCTGTTGAGGAACCAAAGGGATCAATTTTTGGAGTTGAAGTGTTTCCTTTTGTGGCCCTGAGATCTGAGCATTCTCCTTGGGAGGAAGTTCCTGCCATTTGTTGACTCAGTCTTGGCATCTGTTCATCTCTTTGTACAGAGCCTAGAGCCCTGGTCCCCACACCCTAGAGTCCTTGGAGCCTAGGAGACAAGGTCTTCCCTATTCCCTGTCATCAGGACATCTGTAAGCAGCCCTTTAGGCTTCCTGCCCCCATTAAGGCACATGTTAGATAGATGTACACATCTTCCTTGTTGCTGCTATAAGAAATTGCCACAAATTTAGTGATATACACAAACTCTTTCTGGAGGCAGAAGGCCAGAATGGACCAGTTGGGCTGAATTCCTTTTGGAGACTCTCAGGAAAGATAAGCTTTCTTGACTTTTTCATTTGTGGCCCCATCTTCTGTCTTCAGAGCCAGCAGCATAGCATCTTCTAGTTTTATCCACTTGGACTGGTTCCTTTTCTGACTGACCCGCCTACTCCATCTTATGAGGACTCTTGTGATTACGTCAGGCCCAACACTTTATCTAGTAGAGTCTTCTAATCTAATAAACTTCAATTTAATCATATCTATAGATTCTTGCCATGTAATGTAACAATTACAAGGTCTAGGGTTTAGTACTTAAATGTCTTTCTGAGGCTCATAGTCCAGCCCCCCACAGGTATCATGAAAAAAGCACTGCAGGGTAAGGCAGACAAATCCTGGCTGATATGCTGTGTGATTTTGAATAAGACTCTCCTCTGGCTCCTTGCCTGTGAGTAGATCAAGGTGGCCTCCTCAGTACCCTCTGGGGTTATTCTGAAAGGCCCTAATTTCTTTTGTGCACCTTGTTTCTTTCTTACAGACTCAATGTCACCGATCACTCACCCAGGCCTCCTGACATCTCAAGGCACTGAGCCCTAGTGGGCTCTTCTGTGACAGTCTTATTTCCACAGGCAGTAACCCTTGGCTTTATCTCTTATGAGGCCTCACAGACTTAAAAATACAAGCTCATTATGTCTCTATTGTTATCTCTTCCTCCCCACTGACCAGAGCAGGCACTGGGCAGGGACAGCTGGCCTAAGGCCAGATTGCTGCACAGCATGGGCCTTGGGTCAGAGACGTTTTCTAAGATGCAGAGGCTTTCTCTGGGATGGGGGACCTGGGGCAAAGAAGCTGCTGACTTGGAGCCAAGGGATTTCAGACAGATCTGGAAGAAATTGGTCTGTCTGCAGACCAAGAGGTTATTGCTAAGTAAAACAGCGCATCCGGTGCTGGAGACTGGCCATAGAACCCTGAGTGGGCAAGGGAAGGGCTCCTGCTAGACACCCTCCTGTTACCTTCACATGTTCTTTGTGTTTAGGGGCTGGTTAGTGGCTCATCCTTCTCCTTCTCCTCCTTCTCCTTACCTGACTGCCCTATTTCAAGGAACCGACTCAGTTACAGCCCCGCCTAGTATAGGCCATAGACGATTAAGTAGGAGAGGAGTGCTCTGTGCTTCCCAAGGCCTCAGCTGAGTCCAGGTTCACTTGAAAATCCTGAGATGCTCAGATCATTCTGGACGTTTCCAAGGAGGAGTTAGAGACAAAATAGGTGTCCTAAGTTGTACAGTTCACCTGCTGAAGTATCTCTATAGACCTTTGCTGCTTTGTCACACCTTTGTAGCCCCTGGGGCCTTGGGGGTTAGTGGGAGCCCCGGCTCAGTAACTGGAATGTAGAGGGCTTAGTGGAGGGTAGAGGTTATTCAGTCTCCCTGAGAGATCAGGAAGGCTTAGAGGAGCAGGAGTCCTTGTGAGTCCTGAGTCAGACTTTAAAGGGCTGGTAATGAGTAGGCACTGGCCAGGCTGAAAGGACTGGGAGTGGTGAAAGGTAAGTGCACTTCAGACACAGGAAGTAACACGTGCAAACATACCAAGAAAGAAAATGAAACACTGGCTGGTGTTTGAGGAATTAGATGTCACTGGAGTCTTTTGGGGCAAGGTGGACCCAGCCTGCAGGGGCCTTGAATTTGGATGTTCACATAGCCCTCACTCCTGTGCTCAAGGTCTGGAGTCTCCATATTCCTCAGATATGAGGCCCACTCAAGGTCAGGAGTAAAAAGCTTCCAAAGGGATTTTTTTTGACCAGTCACAAATTCAACTCAAAGTTACCTAGCCTAATCCCCCTTTTCTAGTGGCTCCTGTTTGACATGACAGGGTAAGACTGTTTACAAATTAATGGTCTGTTTCTATCTGCTCAGCTAGGAGACTCATTGCACCCTCTGAGCTCTGGAATGAAGGTAGAGTTTTGGGCCAGTGTTTAAGGTTGCAGAGCTGAGTCTGAACTGGCAGTAAGTAGAGCCCTTTGAATTCTTTGAGGGCCACAGCCTCTCTCGGGCCAGACTGATCTCTCCCATGTGACCATTTCCTGTTTCTAGAGTACTAGTTTGGTGTTAAGACTCTTCTGAAACATTGACTTTCAGGAAGCATGTGGTCTGATTTAAGTACCAGGCTGAGTTCCCAGCATCAGGGTCCCAGGGTCTGCAGCCCTTAATTAGACCTGGTTGCTGTGAGGGTCAAGCAGCCTGGTGAGTGGAAACAAGACAAGGCCTTGAGAAACGTGATGAGGTAGAATTGACTACAGGCTGCAGGCCCTCAGTGAGACATGAGCACCGACTCTAGGGTGTAGAGGAAGGAGGGCCTTCTGGTGTGCAGGCCTAAGCAGTCCCCGGTGCCGGATTACTGCACCTCAGGAAGCAGGGTCACCCCACTCTTGTTCCTGCCAGTCTGGGCTTGCAGCCACCTGCACACATCCGCATCTCAGGTTAGATTTGGTTTATCTTTCAGCTTGGCACTTCAGGGCAAAAGGATGGGAATGTATGCAAATGAATAAGGAGATTGGTGCAAAAACAATATCAAGCTAGTGCCCCCTAGATTTCCCAGGGGCAAAAACGAATGATGTTTTCGTATCCCTGCCATATTGGGTGACCAGCTCTTGCTTTGGTGTATAGTGATCTGACTCGGGCTAGTAATTAGCCCATATTTTTAGTTCATGGGCAATTCTCAATGGTAACTGAGTCTATTAAACTTGATTCAGACGTGACAGCTTAAATTGTAAACAGCTGTGAGGAGTTTTATACTTAATTACCATATTTAAGTTTTGCCATAAAGCACCCATACTTCCATCAAAAATGTAAATGACGGAGACATTCAAATGAGATTTTATACTTTGAGAAGTTTAATTGGCATAGATCAGTCAGCTTGTTTAGGGATTTAAGACATTTTTTTAAAAAGAGAATTTTTAAGGCAGTAGCCATGAATTCACATCTCAAATCTCACAGTCTGGCAGAGAGGAATGGAGCGGAGCTGAGACTTGTTAGGCCTGAACTTGTACACTTGAAAGTTAGACTGCTGCTTTCTTCTCGGGCCAGGCTTTCCCAAGGAAGCTCTGTGTTACTTCCGACTACAGCTGTAAGCTCCACGACTTCGACTTCGCTTCCTGAGGCTGAGCTGATTAACCCTGAACTGGAGTCACTTTGGGAAGGTGGAGAGAGGAGGGGTTGAGAGGTGTGTGGGTGAGGTGTCTGTTCTGGCTGGAGTGTGAAGCATCAGTCCCAGGAGACCTGCCCCTCAGACACGTTTGTTTCTGTTGGCATTGTTGGCACCCCTGGAGAGCTGTGCCTTGTATTGGGGAGCAGAGGTGTTCAGACATGACTCGTGCCCAAGAGAGCACACACATGAGGGTGATCCGAACGTGCTCGCTAATGACACATGTGTTTGAGGCCAGGGGAGTGGGCTGGGTGGAACTATGAAAACCCGGTGCTGTGGACACTAGAGAGGTGGTGCCATTTCAGTTGGATTTTAAGTTGGGGATTGCCCAGCTCACGTTGGTTGTGGCTCATCCAGGCAGTGCCTGGGCCCTTCCAGGAAGCTTCATTTTTCTGGTTCCAAGGGCTGTTAGCAGGTGAAGTTATCAGATAATTAGAGAGGGCTTCTCAGAGGAAGTGGCCCTCAAAGTTAATTTAATTTAGCATGGAGAAGCAGGAGAAAATGTTGAGATGAACAGCTGTTTGGGAAGTATGGGGCTGGGACCACTGTTTGCTGGCCATGCAGAACCTTAGGTAGGGGTAGAGGAGGGGGACATAGGGCCCCGGCTGCCTGAGGACGGTGTGGTTTCTTACAGTCTGGGTGCTTTGGTGACCTGGGAGAGGCCAGGCTACTGCCTCCACCCATCATGCAAGAGCCAGGGATGGAGCCCTCCACATCTTCAGGGGTGTAGGCAGGCCCAGGCCCTCTAGGTGATGGGTGCTGTACCCCACTGACTCAACACCCCGTCCCGACCTCACTTCCTGTTTTTCAGGCACAGGCTGTCACCCTCACGGTAGCTCAAGCCTTCAAAGTTGCCTTTGAGTTTTGGCAGGTGTCCAAGGAAGGTAAGTGTTATTCTTCGCACTGGGAGGGGTGGTGGTGCAGGGGATGGGGAGAAAGGCAGCAAGTAGTACTGGGGTGAGGGAAGGTATGCCTCCAGTCAGATGTTGATGAACTCTTTCATCACTACCCAATATTGACTTTGGACAGGTACTGTCACTGAATCTCAGTGTCCCCACCTGAAAAAGGGACTAGCAGTCTCCTTCCCCAAGGGTGCTTGGAAGATTAAATGAAATCTGTGAGGTGTTTCTTCCCTGCTGGAGACCTAGTACTCACCCCTCCCAGTAATGGCTGGGACAGAGGGTTGGGGTCGGTGGATCTGACATGCTCTGTCTTATCCTACAGAGAAGGAGAAGAGGGAGAAAGCCAACCAAGAGAAAGGGGACAGCCCAGGTGGGGCCCACCATGACTGCACCCCCTCACTGAAGAGCTGTGAGTCATTTCTACACCTTGAGTCCTGCCCTCCCCTCAGGCCCTCACTCCCTCCTGGGCTGGGACTGACTCTTGGTTTTTTGTTTTAAAATTGGTAATGCATGTTTATTATAGGTAATTTAAAAATTATGGATAAAGAGAAAAGGTGCTTTTTTGGTGTATGTGCTTCTGTACATGTCCATTTCTATTCATCTCTCAGCTACACTTTACATCCTGTTGTATGATCTCTTAGAAAACCACTTTTATGACTATAAAAGTTGCAGCCTAAACCCAGCTGTTAATGGGGAAGTTCTCATACTGTGAGCCAATGCTGGGGAGATACCAGAGGGGTTCTGGGCTCATTCTCTGGGGCCCTGCCAAATGAGGTGCCAGGACAACCCAGGAGACTAAAATGACCTAGATGATGAGGTGGCAGAAGAGATTCTTCTCCCACTGACACACCTGACTGGACCCCTTGCAGTGGTTGCTACTGGGAACCTGCTGGACTTGGAAGAGACGACCAAGGCCCCACTGTCCACAGTCAGCGCCAACACCCCTAATGTGGACGAGGCACCAAGGACTCAGACCTTGAACAGCAACAGTGTTGTTTGGGTGAGTGGTCAGGTGGCCTGGAGAGCCCTGAGCCTCAGCCTGATCTCTGGACAAGCCCGTGGTTCCAAGGCCCCAGCCCTCCTGACACACGTGGGTCCCCGGGAGGGCCAGACCCAGTACAGCAGCCCAGGGTAGGGGGTGAACAATGTTCCCTTTGAACTCAGAACTGTGTCCCAAACAGTCCTGGCTCCTCACACAGCTGTCTCCTCACAATGCCCAGCTTCTTGGCCTGAGCATCCGTGGCTCTGCCCACCACAGGACAGCCAAAGGCTCCCTTGTTCTTGGCGTGGGCATAATTTGATCCTGGCACCCATCCCCCTCAGCCCTCTGAATTAGAATCCATGAACTTGAGCGATCAGCTCCATGGCCCCTGACTTGCTGTGTGACTGAGGGCAAGCCCCCTGACCTCTCTGTGTCTCAGCTTCTTCCTCTCCTCAGCAAGGATGTGACTTCTTCCTGTAGAACCACTCAGACAGAAGACCATTGCTTGCATTGGTTTGTTGGTGTCTTTAAAAGAGTTGTTAATTTTCAATTGGAAATAATTGCAGACTTTTTTTAAAGTTGCAAAAACTCTTTAGTACAAAGAACTCCTTCTCAGCTTCACCAAATTCCTTAGATGCTAAGATCTTACGTAACTATTAAAATTACCAAAATCAGGACATCAGCACTGATACAGTGCTATTCATCTCCAGACCTTGGTCACATTTTCTCATCTGTCCTACCAGCGCCATGTCCTTGTTCTGGTTCAGGATCCATGCAAGATCACATGTTATTTTACTCATCATGGCTACTTTATTTTCCAGAATATGAATGTTGAAGGACTTGACTTTTCCAGGAAAACCATATTTATCCTTCTGGCTATTAGCAGACCCCATGAGCAAGGCAGCCATGTGTTCTCTGCTATCTGAGAGCCACCTGCCCATCCTCATAGGAGGTCATGGTGGGAACCTCACCTCTCATTTTTCAACCTAGATTGTGGGCTTCCTGTCACCAGCTAGCCCTCCCTTGTGAGCCTAGAATTCGACTCTTGGAAGTAGATGAAAGCCAGAAACTCTCTCCACACCCTCTTCCTCTTAGAATTGGAAAACTGGAGAAATCACATAGTTGATTCAGCCCTCTCATTTTATGGGAGTCTCAGAGAACAGTGATTTGCCCCAACTCTCTGAGGTGGCCTGTGTAGAGCTGGAAGTTAAGCCCATCCTAGCCTCCAGATGCTCTGTGATGTCTGCCCTCTCCTAGGTCACCACAACTCCACACCCACTCTCCACGTCCATGGGCAGTGGTGGTGATGGTGGCAGCCAGGCCGGAGGGAGGCCTGCCTGTTTCTGTTTCTCCAGCACCCACCCACTCACGCATGTGGCCTGAATCCCTGGGGACAGCTCACCTGTGAGTGTGAGCTCCCCCTTAGGGTCGTATTTCCTGTTTTGTTTCCCTCAAGGAACTGGAGGACGGCCTGGATGAAGCATTTTCAAGGTAATGGGGAGGGGAGAGGAAGAGGGGGAAGAGGGAGGGCCTCCAGTTTGAGGATTGTTCCAGCTTGCCCTTTCCCCCTGGGGCCCTTTGCCAGTATGAGAATCAGTCTTTTTCCAGAGCAGGAATTTCCATCCTTTCTGCTTGAATACCCCCAGAGCTAGGGAGCTCACTGTCTATTGACAGTGGCCGGCAGGTCTCTTAAAAGCTCTTGCAGCTGAATCAAAAACTATTCCTAATGGCTGCTCAGCGAGAGTCTGGGTTGTGCTAAATGCTGTGCTGCTTAAGTTGATTCTCCCTTCCTCCACCTGCCGTATGTAGCCTTTAGAAATTGGCTTTTTTGCAGCTTTTGCCTTCTCCAAAGGTTCTGCATTTATGAACAGGGACAAGGAGAAAGCAATGCTTAATTAAGCCTCGAGATTGTTACGTAGAGGAGATTCTTTCATATAGCTTGAGGGTGGTGGCGTTCTCCTTTTTCCCCAGGGGCCATCCCTGTAGCCATGGCTACCTTTAGCTTGGGGACATACCTGCCACCAAGAAGGCTGCAGCTGAGGGACATTTTGTCCTGGAAAGCTCAGAGTTTTGTGTTAGACCTAGTCTGTCAACCTCCCTTTTCCCCTTGGGACCTTCGTAGCCCCCTGCAATCTTCCTGCATCAGGGGCTTTGGAGGAAGAGCCAATGGTGCGGATGCTGGATGGAAACAGAGCCTTACCTGACTTCCCACCTCCTCGTCCACTGCTGTCAGGGCAGGAGAGGCCCAGCCCGGGCAAAGTGGACTTGTTCCTCACAGCAACTTCCCTGCTTCACCTGCTGACCACAGCCTTCACCTTACAGGATCTTCCATTGGCTTTTCTAGATTATTCAAGTATTTTGTCCAATTTTGAAAATCAGCAAAGCATTAAACAGAAAATAGTACCATCGCATAATTCCACAGCCCAGACTTTTTGGGTTAGTTTATACTAATCCTACACATAACACTTCCCCTCCTCTGCTGCATTGATCAGCTCCTTGTATGTGCCTTTTGGAATCCTGATTTTTTTACTTAGCATCAATATATTAAAAGCATTTCTCAAGGCTGTTAGAAACTTCTTATAAACACTGTGTTCATTGACTGCCTAGCAGTTTTTAAGGGTGCAGGCTGTCATTTACTTGGCTCCCTGCTATTCTTATGGACATTTTGGTGTGCCTCCTTTTTTTTAGGCACTTAGACTTTGACCATCCCTATATTGATTGACCTGTGTCTTTCTACCCACAGTAAGGCATCCGTGCCACACACTCCCCATCCCAGCATTGCCCTTTCTCCTCCTGGCCATGTCCTCACAGTCCTGGCATATGTGGCTGCTCTGGCTTCTGTGATGAAAATGCCCATTGGCTGCCACGGTTTTCTGAGCTGTTTGACCCTCAGCATAGGCTCTGTGGTCAGAAACTGTGCCTCCCCTGCCACATGAGACATTTTTCTCTGACCCATATGTCCTGGCATCCCCTCCTAGGGCCCTTTCATGTCTGCCCCTGGTTTTGGCTGGGCTGGATTGGTGCTTGGGTCCTTGGCTCACATAACTCTGCCTTCCAGGCTGGCCCAATCTCGGACAAACCCTCAAGTCCTGGACATTGGACTGACAGCCCAGGACATCCATTATGCCCAGTGCCTCTCACCTGTTGACTGGGACAAGCCTGATAGTGGTGGTACCGAGCAGGATGACGTCTTCAGCTTCTGAGGGCCTGGGGCTAACGGATCTTGGCCAACTACTTCGTGAAATGGACCAAAGCCACCGCGGCGAGAAGCCAGCTCCTGGGCCCGTGTCCGCCCTCTCCTGGCTTGCAGCATCGTGAGCCTTTACATCAAAGCTGTCGCCAGTCAAGCAGAGAGAGAGGGAGAGAGATTTTATTTTAACCCTGCTCTTTCTCTAACAACTGAAAGACGCTTTGAATATTTATTCAATGACTCCTGGTTCATGCTTGGAGGCCAGTTTTGCGTCAGCCACGTCTCCTGCTGTGTAACGTGTGCAGTGTTATAACTAGCTTCCTGTTCTCAGTCTTTATCAAACAAGCTCTGTTCTGGCAGTGGGTGTCAGGACAGTGACCAAAGCATTTCCTCTACCTTCCTTTTAAGGACCCAGTTTCCCTGGAGGCATCCTTGTCCCTTTTTGAAAGCAGTTGGATTTCCATCTTCTGAGCACAGGAGGGCACTCGAAGCCTCGGGAGAGGAAAGTGTCCTCCCAGCAAGCCTGGGCGTAAGCCCTTGGACTCAGGACCTCTCAAGGGACAAAGGTTGGCCCTGACCAAAGACAGCATGTAGCTTGGCACTTTAAAGCACAAACAGCTCCGTGGTGCTGCCTTGAACAGAGCTTTTTACTGCCCTTCTTCCACAAGGGCCCCAAAGTCACCGTGTGGGGTTCCCATCAGTGTTCGGAATCGTGCTAACTGGCCATCCTCAGACTCTCAGAGTCTGACTGGGATCCTCACCAGGACTGTCCTGCATTGAGTTCCCACACCCTCTTCTATCAAAGCAGGCTGGTCTGCTCTTCTTGTGTATGTGTGAGTGTGAATTTCTCTGATACCCTCCTCCCCATACTTTCTGCGTGGAACCTAGTACTATGTTCACTTAAAAAATTTTTATTGCCATTATACAGATGAAGAAATAGAGGCCACAGGGGAGGTAGGAGTAGGATCAAAAGTCGAACCCAGATCTGATGCCAAAGCTGCATTCTCCACTCCCTCCTCCCACAACTCATGTGTTCCCCTCCCCCCCTTTGTTGTCCTCCTAGGAACCAAAAAACGCCAGCTATTTTCTGACCAAAATGTGTTTCATAACAAACCATCTGGTGCCTTTCTACCCAGAACTGGCATAAGCCTCTATGCCCTGCTAGTTGTCTTGCTGTTGATTTCCATAAAAATGGAAGTGTTTGAAGTCTGCTAATTCAGACAGTGAAACAAAATCAAATTCCATACGCATCACACTGTTCTCTTTCCTGACACCCCAGCCCTGGGTCAAGACACAACAGTAGCAGTCTGTCTGCAGAGTCTATCTATTATTTCTCCTCCTGCACCCCCATAGGGCTCCCAGCATCCTGAAGCCCAGCAATCTGCAAGCACCTTTTCTATCTTGAGGTGCCTCCCTATGGCCTGACTTGGAGCAGGTTTCACGAGCTTCAGAAAAGCACACACCTTAAAATGTTCCTCCTCTAATCAGAACACATTAGAGACCAAGTCCCTGGTGAGAGGTGGCAGGGTCATTTGTAGAGTCTTTATCAGAATATTAGGATCACTTCTTTCCCTGTCTACCCCCAATCTCCTTGGTGTCCACCTCTGTGTTTGTCATGGGCAGCAAGGGTTGGTTCAACACAGACTTCGTGGCTCAAGGGGCCGGAATCCTGAGGAAGACTGCTTTGCTTCTCTAGTCACCCTGTGGCCTTCATCTCCTGTCTTGTTGGCAAGCTGGCCGTGTGCTTGCCATGTGTCTCCAGATAAGTCTGGATTGTGTTGTACTTTGTGATGTTGTGTTAAGGAAGTTCTGATGAAAACAAAAAAATGTCCTCTTTTTACAATACAAGTAGTACTGAGATTGAGTGGCCTGAACACTGGCTGTGTACACAGGGTGGGGGTCAGATAGGGGTGTGTATCTGGTGAGGGGACCTTTGTGATGCATTGAAGTAATTCCAGTGACCCGTGTCAGCACTGAGGAGGCCTTTGAGAACTTAGATGAAAAGCTCCTGACCAGGGGTCAGTGAACTCCCTGAAATGTACATAATATTATGTGTATATACCACATGAGCTCTTGCCCAGGGAAAGGGCCCACTGTTTTCTGTCAGTCTCAAGTGGGTCACTTGAAGGACTTGGTCAGTTTTGAATCAGGCCTGGGGCCCAGTGATGGGACAGTCTCCAAGAACTCAGGGTATCTTGAGGGGCTAGGGATTGAGGCATGATGGGGAGTGTGTTTAGTCTCGTGGGCATCCCTAAACCTAGCTCTGGTGATGCCGCTCGAGAGCTGTCACAGTGGATCAGCCACTTCTCTCCTTGTGCTTCAGACTCATCTGTGGAAAAGGTGCACTAACCCTACTCTCTCTGTGCCCCCCGGGCTTGTGTGACTTCTACACCCCTTTAGTATTAGTGTCCTTAACTCTGGAGCAAAAACCAATTTGAACCAAAACAATTTAAGAAAGATAAAAGTGATAGATAATAACTACTATGACAAGGAGCTCTGGTACCTTAGTCATAAAGAATTGCCCTGCCAACTTAAAGGTACATGGTTCAAAGCTACTAGCAGGATAGAGTTAAGCAGTCTCTTCTCATGCAGTTTACTGCCTCTGAAAACTCTCTGGAAATAAAACTTTAACTGGCAGGGTACCCAGCCAGAGATGACTGGCATAAAGAGAAAGTCATTGTCGATCGAAGATGTCCTAGGGTGGATCATGCTGGGAAGGGTAGAGCTAGGTCAACAGAGGAAATGAGTTGACATGGTGACTGCAGCAATGGCCTCAAAGATGTCAGATTATGAGTGGTACGAGATAGGACGGGGGTCACTATGGATTTTACTTGACAGCTACTATCAACAACCTGTGCATCTGACAATTGGACACTGAAGAAGGAAGACTGGAGAAGAATCAATGCCTTTGAATTGTGGTGCTGAAAGAGTATTGAATATCCCATAGACTTCCAAAAGAACAGACCTCAGTCTTGCAGGAGGTGCAGCCAGATTGCTCCTTAAGAGTCAAGGATGGTGAAACCTCTCTCATACTTTGGGCAGTTGTCAGGAGCGGCCAGTCCTTTGGGGGGGGGGGGAAGATACCGTGTTGGGAAAGGTGTAGGGTCAGAGGAAGGAAGGAAGGCTGTCCAGAGATGGATAGACTGGCTGAAGAATGGGCTCAAGCATGTCGCTGACCTGCGTGCACGTACTGTGACTGAGCTCGTGCTGTGTGCCAGGCATTGTGTTGAGCTCAAAACGTTTATCTAACAGATGGACCTGTTGGGCCAGATGGTATTATCTCACTTGCTGAGGAGCCCCAGCAAAGAAGGCCGTGACCAGCGCCACACATCCCAGACTTTCCCACACCCCCGTGACCCTCAAGTCGGCTGTGTGCTGGCCTCCCTGTGGTCATGCTGCCTATTGTCTACCTGCTCATGACCTAGAGCCTCCACTTCCTTCAGGCCTCTCTGCTTAGGGACTCCCCAGACTCCTGGCCTCACTGCTCAGCTGTGGCTGGTAGGGTCTTATCAGGTGTCTTTGATCACTTTGTCCCTTTCAAATATGGACATTTCAGAGTGTGGGACCCAGAGGCGGAACCCTCTGATAGTCATTGCCAGACTCACTGAATTCCGAGTGGATCGAAGATGTCTAAAAAATTCTTCCTTCCTTATCGGAAAAGACACCCAACAAGTTCATCTTTCGGTTTAAATTTGACCGATGTCTTTAGTCTCCAGATGTCTCAAATTATGAATCCTGAACACCCGCTGTCTGCTCTTTCATGCATAACGGATAAAGCTGGGAAGAACAAAGTCGCCTTTCAGATCTGATGTGCCCTTCAGCTTCAGTGGGTAGATGTTGGGGTCTTCCCTCCCAGGAGGAGAAACAGCCAGCTATGTCTCTCCCACGACTGTACTACAAGTTTGAGTAGGGACTCCTGCTGTGTGTCCAGCGTACTGACTGGGTCTGGCCTTCGCCCAGCCTCCCTCCCTCCACACTCCCCAGGTACATCACAGGCAGCACTCACTGGGAAGTAAACATTTCCTAGTATCCACCACCCTGTGTGTTGGGTCCTCTTGGTCACAAGGTAGGTGCTGAATCCCAGCCTGCCTCTCAGCACTGCATCAAGCCTGCAGGTCTTAATAACTTCTATGGGTCTGTGACCGACAAGGTGGGTGGTCATGAGGAGTCAGAGGGGGGACATGAATGGACCAAAAGTCTCAGGAGTGGGAGTGGAGACCTGGGCTTGAAGCCCAGTCTGTCGGACTCTGCAGCTTGGGTATTTCCATTGTTCTCTCAAGAATGAAGGACAAACCCACACCAGGATGCCTGTGCCCTGCTGTCCTGTGTCAGCATATGGACAGTATACGGAATGAACTGAGAGGCCACCAGGCCAGATAACTCAGGCAGGCTGACTCCATGAACTGATGAGAACAGATCTCAGCCCTTTAGGGCTGCTTCTCTGGACATGCCCCTCATATCAGGATGTGCCTTACCCCCCTAGGCCTCTGTCCTTGCCCCCAGCAAACATTGGCCATCCTGTGATGGGACCGAGAGCACTTTGGTGCCCTCAGAGGGAGCAGGGTCCTGGGGCAGACCCCTGTGCCTCATGGGCAGTGGATGCCAATCTGAGAGTGGGCAAGGAGATGGAGAAGAAAACCACTCGAGCACCAGTCGCATCCACACAGTGACCAGGCTTATAAGTCCTTGGGCATTTCAGAGGTGATGACCCAGCCCCATGACCTGCAGGTTTGACTCAGCAGCTAAGAAGCAGGCCTGGGATTCGGTATCCCTGTGCCCATCAACCCCTCTGCATGATCAGGAGTATTTGGAGAACGAAATGACCTTGTCTACCTAGGAGCTCCTGAAGCCACATGGAGCATCCCCTCCAGAGTATTGCCAAGCACTTGGAAATGGGATTGAAAAAGAATGATGCTCGTAAATTCATAGCTATATTACCTTGTGCGAGTTACTTTCCCTCCCTGGCCTTAGTTCCTGCTGTGATCCTCAATTGGAATAGTGCCAACCTCAGAG